CTCTTTTCAGCTGTATGGCGGGGTTAGCACAAAAATCTCAAAATTTAAATTATCCAGGACAATAATGAGGATAATAATTCATCTTGGCATCATCGCTAACACCAAGCACTCAAATTGTTTGTCCGGGCGCTTTTGGTGCTTGTGGTAATCACAGCAGTTATTTATAGCTGTACTGCCGGAACGGTCAATCGAACGTTCCTGAAACACGGATTTTATCACTGTGTCCGTCATCCACCACATCATGCGGCTATTTTGAATTCCAAACGCTCTCATCACCGGGAAATGCCGATGAGCCTCTGGCAATTTATGAATGCGTTGACTCCAGCGTTCTGATGTCGGATAATGATGACCATGAGAATGAGAAGCAGGTATTCGCAGTTGGCCTTTTCTTGTACGAGTCATTAAGTATTTTTGTTTTTTTCTGTCGAATTTTGTGGGAGGAAAATGTTTTGGTCTGTTTATGATTGAATCGAAATTCAGTGGTTCGTCAGTTGGACTAAGCATTGTAGGCAGTTTGCTGTAATAGTGAAAAAAAAGCAAAATTTTTTTATATTAATGGCAAAATTAAGGACGGTATTTCGATTACGCCAAAAAAGACATGCGCACTGTTGAGTGGTGCTCGCGAGAAAGTAACTGATTACTCGAGCACTCCTTGGAGAGGAGGAGGCACAGATACATCGAACAGGCGGCGAGTACCTAGCAGAATATATCTAGTTAGGGTCAAAGAACCTAACATGGCTGTTCCCGACATATGAGAGCTTTCTATTAAAACATCATAAACACTAATACCCGGGTGATATTGGCGTCCTTAGTATAAAAGAACAGACAAAATTTTTTTATAAGTGCACGAATTCAAAAAAAGTTTATCTTTTCAATTAAATTTTTGGTGGCCAAAAAAAAATTTTAGATTAAATTTTTTTTCCAGTTTTTCGGCACCGTTTTCTGCTACTGTAAAAGAAGGGCCCGCTGCTATTGACTAATGAACGGCCTGTCGCGATCGAACTGAGTTCTATGGCATGCTTTTTGCCATTTCTGGCTGAGCATTGGAGCTGGGCGACCGCTCCTTCACTG